GTGTGTGTGTGTGTGTGTGTGCACAGAGGCAGTTAAGCAGAGACAGTATTATGTAAATTCTGCTTTAATGGATTCAAGTAAATCTTGTCAAGTGTGAGCGAGTGTGGGCGAGAAAGTGTGTGTGTGTCCGCTGGTATCTGTGTGTCTATCTGTGCATGTGTTTTTGAACATGTGTGTGCGAGTGTGTTTGCTTGTTGACTCCAGCGTTCGTCAAAACATTACGCTTAACTCTTAAATTAGCAAAAATCCAGAAATCTAAGGGGATGCAGCGACCCACTCAACCCAGTGTGTGTGTGTGTGTGTGTGTGTGTGTGTGATATGTGCCTTATGCAGAGTGAATGGAAAGCTTCACACGTGTTCAGATTTCTATATTTGTGGGGACGTCTATGTTCACACTACACGACCCAAAGCTTTGACCTTCAGCCTGACGACGCTGGCATCAGATGAATCACATCGTGAAGAAACGCCTCGTTCAAATGTCCGGACTCGTTGGAAGCCTCTGGGTCACAGCGGTCTAACATGTCTTCAGACTCCGCTCGTTCCAGATTCTGCTTCTTCGCACTTAACTTGGCAATGACACATCATGTTTAACAGGAAACTGAACATTGAGACGTCAACCACAAACCCACGAACACGACGAGCGGCTGATTCCTGAAGTGAAATGAGCTGAAAATGTCTCAGATGCAGATCAGAGCTGGACTGTTTTTCCTTCAGTATTAACTGAGGTTATACAAGTGCGGTATCTGTTGAGTGAATAATGATGACATCTATATCATTATCATATTATCATGTCAAATACAAATGTCCGATCAGTGATGAACGGTTTATACACAACTTTAGTCTTTACATCGTCTTCAAATTATACAAAGCAAGACTCAATCAATCTTTGGCTCTGGAGCAGTGAGACGATCAATTACAAGCTGATCTACACGAAACAGTTTTGATCCCAGATTAATTCTCCAGTCACTGTTTTAGAGACTAGACAAGATCAATCAATGTATCACAGACAATGAGAGGAAAGTTTTCTGAACATGAGAGCCTGTAAACATTTAGAACACTAATTCAAATCAACCTGAACATGAGCAGAATGTGTCAAGTTCATCTTAAATCCCAGAAGCATTAGTTCTGGACCTCAGTTTGTTTAATTGTCAGCTTCAATCTATCAATAGAACATATCTCACCAGATAGAATGAACCTGTCACTGAATGCAGCCGTCGGCTCTGATATTCTTCTGCACAGGAATGGTCACACTTCATTCCAAACATGATTTCTATTTTTCACACACTCATAACGGCAAATAAATAAATAGCTCCTCCACCACAGCTGCGGCCTCAACACTCGAATGTTTCTGGTTTTATTTTTTACTCATGAGAAACAGAGCTGCTCTGTGTGAGCCGCACAAACGCTCCAGTCTAATGAACTGGTCCCCGTTAATACAGTTTAATACCAACAGTTCATATCTAGTTCACCTGTTCACCTCTGAACTTGAAACGACCTCTCCAACGCCCTCCTACCAAATGTCACCATCCTGTACTCTGTCGTCGTGAGGATATTTGATTCTCAACAGGAAGTTAACACACACACACACACACACATACAGAGCAGATCTGAGGGGAAGGAAGTGAACAGTGGAGCTCATGTTTGCATGTTAGGATCTGATAAGACTCATCCTGCTGTGATATGATCTAATATCCTGACACACACACAAAGTTTCTGTATCCCTGATTCCTCACATCACTCTCCATCTTTATCTCCATCTCATCTCCACGCTGCTTCGCCGTCTCTCCCTCTACCTGCCTGCCGCTCATAGGCCAAGCGCTGCGGTTACATTATCGCCGTGACAACCATCTGCTGTGAAAGAGGACGGGAGGCCAGTTCAATAAGTGAAAGTCAATCATCAGCTATTTTTAACTCTTACTCTGCCCGTCAGGGACACATGAGACGCTCGCTGACATAACGTATTAACCCCGACCTGAAGCATCACCACGGGAACAGTCCTGCAGACACGCCCTCGCCACGATGCTTTAGAACTGGAACCCATCCTTATGCAGACAACAGAAGCCCCCACACAGTCAGGAATCAGTCTTCAGCCAGATTTTCAACTTTCTGACAGTTATTGAACTAATCAAGCATGAAATGTAATTCAGTTAAAAAGACGTGACTTGTGTCTAAAATAATAATAGTTAATATGAGTCTTCTACTGTTCAACACACAAAGAGGCCGATTGTTGTGAGAACCAGTCACCGCCCCGAGGAAGAGACGCAAACACTGTGAAGAGTGTGTTTGTGTCTGAGCTGTTGACCCTTGACCCGAGCAGTTCAGCTCTGACTCGTCTGGGTGACGTGTTGACCCTCGTAGACAAATTGGGAAGAAATGTTCGACATGAAACACGTTACTCCAATTTACATAATGACTTTAAGGTGTTGACAGGACGCGCTCGACAGCACCGAGATAATCTGATTAAAGATAAAGAAGCTGAGCACGTAAACACAGTCTACGTGTGAACAGTTATTTTCAGAGCATATGGACTGACTTCACAAAACAAGAAACTTCTCCGCCGACATCTAGGAGTCAGTGTTTCACTCACCGCTTCAACCTGCCGCTGTGTTTGTAGTTTCCGTAATGTTTTGTGCTTTACTTCCTGTCGTGTGCTTTGAGGCTGTGAATCAGGTCACAGCAACAAGTAAAGACATGTGCACCTTTTTATTTTTTGATCAGATATTTCCTGATAAACATTTAAAAACGGTAAGTCTTTACTTATATACTGTATTTCATGTACACACAGCTCTGGATGTAAAAGGATACGTCTGGTGAGAATCTATATTCTTCTCATCATCATCAAATCCTACAATAATCCCAAAACCAATGATCGTCCACTCCAAGTACCAGTTATTATTGTGTGTGTGTGATGTACATGTCATTAGTATTATCTTCCAAGAAGTATTAAAAAATTACACTGACCAGATGTTTGCAGAGTATTTTCTTAGTATAGTGGCAGTGACTTAAGAAGTTATGTCATTTTAAACTTCACTCAGCGGAGCTCACACCGCTACCAGGGCTCGTCAAGCTGCACCAAATGTCACACACTCGTAGATATCAGTCCGCAAACAAGACTTTTTTTCATCTAGATCCAAGAATTCTCAACTCTATCATCTGGATCTGCACCAAAATGTACTGGGCTCTTTCTCTAACTGACAAACAAACACAGAGGAATTCTGAATCAAAGAGTTCTAGTCAGGTTTAGGATTTAAATAAGATTTTTAGTCTACCTGTACTTATGGCTATACCTTTGTTCGATCTTTATTAGCGTTGTGTTATTCTAATAATCCTGAACCCACGGACACAAAAGAACACACAAGCTGATCCATGTTGCTTTAACCAG